AAGACCTTTATTATAATTTACTTGCACTTATTGAATAGTAAGTATATTTTTCTTCCTTAACAATTCTCTTAATAACTTTCTTTTCCCGTGCTTACTTTAAGAATACGGTATATATAATACATAAAACATACAAAATATATGTTAACTCTCTGTCACTGGTAAGGCTTCCAGTCAACAGCAGACAATTAGTAAAATTTAGAGGGAGTCAAAAGTTATACCCGGATTTTTGACTGTGGGGGGATGGTTCCTTTATTGAGGGTCAAACTGTACTGAGTAATTGCTAAATAAATACTCCAGCACCTGTCTTTCTCTTGGTGTATGACAGTCATCTTACCAATATTCCCTCCAAAGAGACAGGTATTAGGCCGTCATATTTGACTGATTCTAAATGGCAGTTCATAGTTTTAGTCTTGCCCTATGAAAAAGTATTTTCCCTTTCTTCTATCTGCTATGAAAAATCAAAATGTACAGAATGCAAAAATATTAACTTCAGAAGCACTGCTACAAGGAGTTAATAAAGGATTTCAAGATACAGCATTTTTCTTTTTCCTTGGTCTTTGGTGAATTATCTACACTTAGAAAGGGATACAAGGTAGACTGAAACAGTTTTATTCAAGTTCTAAAACACAGTGTTAAAAAAAATCAAGGCAAAAATATCTTTTGAAAATAAAAGTTTATATGGCAAGACATTCTTGGACATTTAGTGAAAATGAAATCTGCTGTTCCCTAACATCAACAAGTTTAGAGTCGTCTACATTTCTTTAGAAAAAGTTTATGAACATTATATCTATAATGAATCAAAACTATCTCACAGCTTTGAACAATACCAAAACAATTTAATGTGTATTTGTAGGACTTTGTTTTATTGCTGTTGAGACATGTAAAATCAACTCCCCCAAACTAGAACTCTCTAAGTAGATTTTTAGTGTACGACCAGAAACAGAACTCATTCATTTTTTGGCCAAAATTCTACTTCCTTCATCACAGCAATATTAATTTTATGTAATTATTAAAATACATCAAGTTCCAAAATACTCAAGGTTTAAGTAAGCTCAAGTGAATAGTTCTTTCAGCCCAATCTTTCATTTAAGACCAATAAACTTTTAGAGTTGAGGTATCTTTAAATGAAGTTCCAGAACTACAGACTTATTCACGGTTATCTTCAATAAACAAACATTAAGACCAATTCAAATTACAAATCTGTACATCTAACATTAGAAAACAAGATCTAAGTTAAAGACTAGGGGATTTTGGAGGGTCTCCTACCGGTCTGACTTACTAATGCTCCTATTTTAGGAAGTGGCTACTTAGGAAAGCCAAGAAAACGCAACGCAAAGAACTCACATCAGCAAGGAAGGTAAAGTGGTATATGTTTCTTTTAATTGTAAGAAAATCAGTCCCAACGAACCAGAGCATGCAAAAAGCCCCAAAACAAGCCCACCCTTCTCGCAGTTCTCCAAAGACAAATCAAAAACTCCGACAACACTCAAAGCTGCTTTTTAAGAAACCGGCCTGAAGTGAAGTTCTACCTGCTCCAGAGCAGCCAGGGAATCAACTTCCGAAAGGAACTGACGCAAAAGCCCCTAAGGTAATGGCATCTCAATACGTGAAACAGGCCGCTCTTTCTCCGCAGATTTCATATTGTCATTTCCCACTACTCCTACCTCCACTGCTGAATTCTGCGAGGTTAGAAACTGCGACTTAGCTAAACTACTGTCCGGTCAAGAACCATACTCCGAACCCCTCGCACGTGTACCACGCCTAGCGCTACAACCGCGGCCTTTTCGGTCTTGCCCAGTACCTCCCCCGCGCCCACGCCTTCCTCGCACTCAAAGACCCTTCTCACCTCCTTTACAGAGAGAAACTCGAGGAGCGGAAAGACCAGATGCCGATCCAAAAAATGTGCGATGCGAGTAGTCAAGTCGTACTCCGCCATCTTGCCAAAGAAAAAGAAAGTCTGTGCGCACTAAAACTTTATTGATAACGCCGGCAAACGGACAGATCCGAACTGCGCATGTGCAACACTGTAGGTTTCCCAGCCCTAGGGAAAGGGGCGGGGTTCAGCCCGGAGCGCGCTGAAAACAATGCGCATGCGCGCGGGTGGCGCGGCGTTCTGGGCGAGTCTGTTTTGGGGCGGGAGTTACGACCGCAGTTTCTTCCGTTTGTAGGTTGTCGGTGTCCTTTTTCTACTGCTGGCGCACAATCTACCATCAGTAGTGGCCTGCAACCCATTCCGTGAATAAGTATTGAAAGCTGAGAATTGATTGCTGACCCAGTGTCACTGCATTGCGATGCACCGAAGGACAGGGCGATGAGGCCCTGCTCTCCCGGAAGTCATGTACGGGCTGGCGGGGAGGAATAGCTTAGCTTTCCTTTGGCATACTGGCATACAGTAATGGTTTCTTAAGCGTTTCAGTTAAGATGAGGATGGGTTTCTAGACTAGAAAACAAGTGTAAAAATTTCAAATACTGGTAACAGCCGTAATTTGGTGGGAGTAGGCTATTGTGTTGGCCTTATTTAATTAGGGTGGCTAGCGAAAACTCAGATGGGAATTAGGGTGATTATAAAAAGTTCAGATGGGAATTAAAGTGGTTAGAGAAAACTGTGATAGGGTAACAATTCAGCGGAGGGTTGTAGTAAGAAAATGAGGTGACTAAAATCGGAGCCAGGATAAAAAACATAACCTGTTGATAGGCACAGAAAGCCAAGGGCCATGAGGAAGGAAAATGCTTGGTGTGCTTTAAAAACTTAAAGTCCTGTGTGACTGGCAAATGAGATTAAAGAGGTTTTAAAGGGCCAAGTCACGATTCTAGTAAGAAATGTGGATTTTTTTCTAAGTTCTTTGAAGGCTTCTCTGTTAGTTAACTTCTCTTTTGGCCTTTTCATTTTGGCGTTTCCCAGGGGTCTTCCTCCTCTTTTCCATCTAGACAGGTGCCCTAAATGATCCTAATGTCTAACTGCATGAAGCCTGCAGTGTGCATATTGACAGCTCTCGAATTACAGCCTCAATACTGTCAGTCCCAGACTCGTGCACACAACATTAAGCATAAGCTTGTCCCAAGCTAAACGCACACTGATGTAGCTTACCAGAACCTGTTCCATCCACATTCTTCACCTCAGTGAATGGCAACTCCAGACCCCAAACCTTAGAATTGTGCTTGACTTTTTTTCTTTCACACTCTGTCAGATCCACCAACAAAACTCTTTGTTTCTAACCTTTAAGATGCATTCAGATCCAATCAGTTCACACCACCTCCAAAGTTACATCCCTGGTCTAAACCACCATTAGCTCTTGTTTAGCTTTTGGGAGTGGCCTCTTTACTAATGACCTGCTTCCCCTCCTTTCCTCCTGTGTGGTTTTTTTTTTCTTCATACAGCCAAAGTGACTTTGATTTTCCTAAGTCTAGGTCTCACTGTCAGCCAGAGCACTGTGGCTAATCAGCTCACAGCAGCCTGAGCTCAAAGGATCCTTCTGTCTCTGCCTCTCTAGTAGCTGGACTACAGGCATGCACAACCACACCTGGTTTATTTTTCAACTTTTTTTGTAGATGGGGCCTCATTATTTGCTCCTAGCCTGAGGTAGTCCTCCACTTTGGCCTCCTAACTGTTAGGATTACAAGTGTGAGCTAACATGCCCCATCCAGAGTGACTTTTAAAAGTCAAATTATGCTTAAAATTCCCAGGGATGCCTAACCTGCAGAAAGCTGCACATTGGAAGAATAAGAGTTGTCTTGGGTCACACGTCAAATGCACAAACACAAAAGCTGATGAACAAAAAAGAAAAAATAAGGTCCCTGTATACTTTCCAGATACCCAACATCACAGATAAGCAAAACAGTCCGTGAATAATCTGCATGGCCTGCAGACTGCAGGTTGGACATCCCTGCCCCCAAGCCTTGCTGTCTCATTCAGAGTAAAAGACACAGGTATTATAATACCAAAAAAGCCCTAGATCATCTGGATGCATTTACCCCTCGAGCCTCATCTAAGTCTCCCCCTCTTGCTCACTTGAACCCAGCCACACAGATTTCCTTTCTGTTCCTCAGATTCCCCACTCTGCTCCTATCTTGCTCTCTTTTATTTGCTGTTGCTTCTACCCAGAATGTTCTTAACCCAGTTATCTGCATGGCTCTTTCCCTCCCTCCTTCCTCAAATGTCATCTGCAAAATGGGACCTTCCCTGCCTGACCAGTCTATTTAAAAATGTAACTCACCTGGCTAAGATTTCTCATCTCCCTTTCCTGCTTTATTTGTTCACAATGTTTTATTTACTTGTTTGTTGTAAGTCTCCTCTGACTATTATATTGTTCAAGGCGTTTTGCCTATTTGGTTATAATTGCTTCCCTAGAGTCTGAAATAAACAACGTCTAGCATATAGTTGGCACTGAATTAATATTTTTGAATAAGTATATGAATGAAAGAAGGAAGGTAGGCTTTTACTTTGCAGCATGATATGAAACAAAGACTTTCTAGTAATTTAGCTTGTTTTGGCTATTGTGTGGTAATGGATTGTGAAGTAGCAGAAGCGAAAGCAGCTGGATCAGTTTGATGGTCCTGCGGATTGGGTGGGGCCTGTGGTAGTTTGGACAAGCATATTAATATGGAGAGAAAAGACTCAGGATACACTCTGGTGGTAGATCTGACAAGACTTGTGCTTGGATTGGAAATGATGGAAAAGAAGAATAAAAATTAGGGTGGGCCGAGGTGAGCAGATTGTTTGAACTCAGGAGTTTGAGACCAGCCTAAGCAATATTGAGACCTCTGTCTCTACTAAAAATAGCAAAAATAGCCAGGTGTTGTGGCAAGTGCCTGTAGTCGTAGCTACTTGGGAAGTCAAGGCTAGAGGATTGCTTGAGTCCAAGAGTGCGAGGTTGCTGAGAGTTATGATACTACGGCATTCTACCCAGGGTGACACAATGAGACTGTCTCAAAAAACAAACAAAAGACCAACCAGGACGGAATGGAAAAGGGAAAGAAAGAATAAACATCAAAATAATTTCATACATACCTGGCAGGGGAGATACCATCATCATGAAGGTGGTTTTCCCAGGGTGAGGCTTATCCATTGCCTGGATGTGCTGATTCCTGCAATTTCCCCAAATTGTGGGAAACTCGACTGTATAATTTGTGGTAGTGGGGGACTGCTTTCATGCTTTCCCCTGTTTGGGGGAGGAGGACATCAAAATAATTCCTAGAAATACTACTCAGCAATAAAAAAGTAGAAACTGGCTATATACACAACCTAGATGAATTTCTTGGGAATTATGCCCAGTGAAAAAAAGTTAATTCCCAAAGGTTATGTACTAAATGATTATATATATGCTATATATATATATACACACACACACATATATCACTCTTAAAATGACAAAATTATAGAAACAGAGAATGGATTACTGGTTGCCAAGGGCTAAGGAGGTGTGGGGATGGGAGAGTGACTATAAAAGGCCCAGTAGGGATCCTTGTGGTAATGGAATGTTCCAGTTGACTATGTCATTATCCTGGCTGTCCTGTTATACTACAGTTTCATGTTTTGTTTTCAACAGCTTTGTTCACATACCGTACAATCCACTCATTTAAAGGGCATAGTTCAGTGGGTTTTCTTTTTAAGTATATTCACAGATATGTGAACCATCACCACAATTTTAGAATATTTTCATTATTTCAAAAAGAAATTTTGTACCCTTGAGTTTTCACTCCCCTATCTTGCCATTCTCCTCACTCCAATGCCAAGTAACCACTAGCTGTCAGAGTTCCCCATTCAGGATGTTCATTAGCATAGAATTATATAATATTGGTTTTTTGTGTTTATTTTCACTTGCCATAATGATTTTGGAGGTCATCCAAATTGTAGTGTTTATCACTACTTCATTATCATTTATGGCCAAATAACATTCCATTGTATCAATACACCACATCGTTATGCATTCATCTGTGAATGGACATTTGTGTAGATTCCACCTGTTGGCTATTATGAATAATGCTCCTATAAACACTTTGGTGTGCAAGTTTTTGTGTGGACATATTATTTCAGTTTTCTCGAGTATACACGTGTATGTAGGAGCGGAGTTGTGGGGTTAGATGGCAACTCTACGTTTCATTACTTGGGAAGTGCCAGATAGTACTATAGTTTTGCAAGATGTTACCACTGGAAGAAACTGGCTAGAGAGCATAAGGGATCTTCCTGTATTATTTCATACAACTCCATGTGACTATACTATCTCAAAATTTACGTTTAATTAAAAAGATGAATCCTAGACATTGGGCTTGAAAAACTAGGCACTTTCTGGTGATCAGGATAGAGAGGAGAATGGCAAAGGAATATGTATAAGTGCTTAAACCTTACAAAGTCTTGTAAGCAAGTAGAGGTACTATTCTGTATGAGCCGAATAGTTTATTGATGATGATGTGTGTGACCTTGTATCCTACATGTTTTTGAGGATTTGGGAGTATGATACGATCTCTGCCATCATGACATTTATGATATTGTTGGGGAAAAGAGGCCCACAAAGCAGAGAATACTTGGCAAAGTAGGCTGCTAAATTGTGGGGGGATAGCCCCTTGGCTCCTACCAGTTGAGAAATGCAGTTGTAATTTAAAGTTTCCTAGAAGCCCGGGTACTAAAGTTGTGATCAAATATCAACAGAACAAGGGACAAATAGGAAGAATCTAGGCTCCCAGCAGAAGTGAGCTAGGACATAGGAAGGAAGGAAGTGGGTAGCAATGTGGAAACACCTTGTCCATGGCCACAGGAGCTGCTGTCAAAAAGGAGACAATTAGTTATTCATCCATTCAATGAAAATTAAATGCAAACCACGGTTCTAGGTCCTGGGAATATAGCAATAAAGAACATAAATAACATTCTCCACAGAAGCTTATAATTCACTTGGTTAAGTGCAGTTAAAAAAAAAAAAGCTTATATTAAAGATGACGATGGTCAAAAACATTAACAAGTATATACTTTTCTAGGTGGTTATAGGTCCTGTGAAGAAAAGCAACTCAAGGCAAATGTTAGAGAATAATGGGGAAAAGGTTGCTTACTTATATAAAATACTTAGAGATGTTGTGTGATAGGTGGAATAGGAAAAGAAGCCCGAAGGATGAGAGCGAGCCTGCGGCTATATCGAGGAGAAACAGTCCAGGTGAAGGAACATTAAGTATACAGATCCTGAAGCAGAAGTGTGCTTGGTGTCCTTGAAGAGGAGCAAGAAGGCTAGGGATACCACAGCTGACTAAGAGTGAGTGTGGTAGATGAGTGCAGAGGGACAGTGGTGGGCAGGTGACATGGTGCTTTGTAGCCCTGATAGAGACTTGGGTTATATTCTGGAGGAGGTGAGAGGTGAGAAGTTATTGCAAGGTTTTGAACAGAGAAGTTAGATAATCAGGATTAGGCTGTTTTTTCTTTCTTTCTTTCTTTCTTTCTTTTTATGCTGGAGGAGGAGTTAGGTTCTTTTTTTTTTTGAGACAGAGCCTCAAGCTGTCCCCCTGGGCAGAGTGCCGTGGCATTACAGCTCACAGCAACCTCCAACTCCTGGGCTCAAGCGAGTCTCCTGCCTCCGCCTCCCAAGTAGCTGGGACCACAGGCGCCCGCCACAACGCCCGGCCATTTTTTGGTTGCAGCCGTCATTGTTGTTTGGCGGGTCCGGGCTGGGGATTCGAACCCGCCACCTTAGGTGTACGTGGCTGGCGCCTTAGCCAGTTGAGCTATAGGCGCCGAGCCAGGAGTTAGGTTCTTAAAAGACCATGTTGGGGGTTGAAACAATTCAGGCAAAAGATGATGGTGGCTTAGACCAAAGTGGTAGCAGTGAAAGAGCTGTGGATATAGTAAAAAACCAAATATGTTTGAATGCAGAGTAGAAAAATTTGCTAATGGATTGGATAAAAAGAGAGGAGTCAAAGATGATCCTAAGGGGCCGGGCACCATGGCTTATACCTGCAATCCTAGCACTCTGGGAGATCAAGGTGGGTGGATTGCTTGAGCTCAGGTGTTCGAGACCAGCCTAAGCAAGAGTGAGACCCCATCTCTAAAAATAACCAGGTGTTATAGCAGGCACCTGTAGTCCCAGCTACTCAGAAGGATGAGGCAGGAGGATCACTTGAGCCCAACAGTTTGAGGTTGCTGTGAGCTATGATGCCATGGCACTCTACTGGGGGTGAAATAATGAAACTCTTTCTCAAAAAAAAAAAAAAAGAAAGAAAGAAAGAAAAAGAAAAGAAAAGATGATTCTAAGATGTAAAACTGCTGAGAGGCCATTTACCAAGATGAGGAAGGTTACCATAGATGCAAGTGTTCAGTAGGAGGGAAATCAAGAGTTCAGTTTTGGACATTCTGTTTGGAATGCCTATTTGACATCCAAATAGAAAATCTAGAATCAGGGAAAAGGTCAGAACTGGAGATAGAAAATTAGATCTGGTTAGCCTTTTGATGAAACTGAAAACCATGAAGTTGGATGAAATCTGAGAATATGTTTGAAAAAAAAGATGAGGAGGGTTAAATCTTAGGTACTTCAACTTGTAGAGGTTGGGACAATTCAGATCAAATGAGGAAGCTGGAGAAGGACTAGCTGGCTAATAAGTAGAGGACAGAAGAGGAGGAGGAAGAGAAAGTGGTGTCCAAGGAACCAAAGGAGGAGAGTAGTCCACCCAACAAGGATCCCTTAGTTATGTCAAAGGGTGCTGTCAGTTCAAGGTGATGACCAAGTATTGCCTGTCCACTTCTGAAAATACGCAAGTTGGGCTTTAGGTACTGCAGGAAAAAAAAGAGGAAAATATGCAGATCACTGATGACCTTCAAAAACACTTTTAGTAAGGGTGAATGAAAGTCCATTTGTAGTGAAATCAAAAGATGGGAGAAGAATTGAGGCAACATACATAAACAAGCCTTTGAGGAATTTTACCAAAAAAGGAAGCAGAGGCTCGGTGCCTGTGGCTCAAGTGGCTAAGGCGCCAGCCACATACACCTCAGGTGGCGGGTTCAAATCCAGCCCGGGGCTCAGCGCCTGTGGCTCAAGCAGCTAAGGC